GATAGATAGAATCCATCGGCATTGTTGATATGCGATCACATATCGTATATCACTAACGGCTCGTTACAATGTCTTAACTACTTCCTTCCTGTATTTCTTGAGGATAAAGAAATGTTTCTCAAGACACATGGAATAAAAACAATATTCCTGTGATTAGCAGCAGGAACATTATGTTTTACATTTGAATGCTACAAGGATTGTGCTAATTAACTTTTTTTTCATTTTAGTCAACCAATAGTAGTTCGTGTGCACTTGAATATAATAAAAACAATGTTGTATTATATTTTCAAAAACATATACATGCATTTGATTATATTGATATTGCAAGTGAATTAGTTCGATTTATATTTAAAAAATCACCTGATACAATTGTTCATACAATAAGTGATAAACTTGCATCACCATTAGAAACACTTAAACGTCGTGGTATACCTGTTGATCGTTTACTTCAATATAAACAACAATATATACGTTCAACTGTTCAAATGATTGAACAAAAATCTGAATTAAATAATAATAATAATAATCATGAAACTCATGCTAAAATAAATGGTTGTGTAGAAGATTTTAATCATCAACAAACAAAAAAATGATACTAAATTATTTTCAATGTTAAATACAGGTCGAGAATATACACAAACAAAATTTATTCAACAAGAATATGTTAAAAATGAAATTGATCATTCATGTGAAGTTGTACCATCTGCTAATATGACACGTTATAAAGATTTATTTCATTCAATACCATTATATATTCAACAAGATGTTCTTATTACAAATAAAATGCTTGATCAAGCTAAACAATTAGCTTGGGTTTTAATTGGACTTGCTAATCATGTTTTTAAAATATCTATTGAAACATTACATCTCTTTCGAGATATTAATGGAGGTAAAACTGAAAATTATCTTTTCAATCATTTATTTATTTATTTATTTAGCTCGCATTGCATTTAATGATCGTCATGCGTTATTTTTTAATCTTCGTTATTATGAACAAGTTTTTGCTGACAAAGTCCAACCATATTTACAAGCAACGTCATCATCATCATCATCATCTATACCAATAATACATACAATTTTTAATTTTAATTTTATATTGATATGTCATGAACTTGCACATAATCTTGAAATGGCACATAATTCTAATTTTATTCATCATTTGCAAACAATTGCAGTTAAATTTATGATAGAAAAAGATTTATTCTTACAGCAATTTTCATTTCAAAATTATTTGCAAAATAATTTTATTTGAATAAAATTCTTCTTTGTTTTTTGTTATGATTATGCAATAACCTATATAAATAAAGTATATTCATACTTTGAAAAAATAAATCTGACATGTGAACGAGCATTTGAAGAAAAGGAGGACATCATTTTTTTGTCGTAAAAAATGCATTTCAGGATATCAGATGCATTAGTATGGTTCAACACGATAACACGAGGAATCCACTAAAAGTTACAATAGATTATACATGGATTTCTCCATACCATCCTCAAAAAAAAATCTGCGACCTGTGTGAAGAAAGTAGTTCAATCAATTAGATAGTCATGTTGAAGAGGGCAAAATTTTATTCTGAAACAAATAATATCAACTTATTGTTTGACTCTGTTCAAGTGGGTATATGCATCTGCAGAGTACAGTTTATCAATGATTCTGTGGTATTCAATTGCAAAATTAATGAAATCAACTAAAATTTTTTTTGTAAAAATTCCCATAAGCTTAGCAATTTACGAAAAATATTTCTTTTCGAACAATGAAAATTTATCAACAAGTTGTTTTCATCGGTAATTCATGAATGTTTTCCGCTTCGAAAGGGATTCATATGAATGACTGATAATATTGCAAAAAATTTTCAAGCGTGTTTTTACTGTTAAAAGGGCAACGTTGCTTCATTTAGCTGTTCAAATTTATATCAATTTTTACGTGGAATTACAAATAATGAATTATGATTGATATAATTTCACAGCTGCTGCTTGTTATAGACTTAATTTTATGCATGATATATTCTTCGTTCAAGAGTTGGGATATAATGACGTTAGCAGAATTTGCGAACTTAGAAAAGCAAAATTTTGGAATGAAATGGATGACAATGCTCATGTGAGTCAATGAAATTGAAATAGGTAGACTTTTATTTTCATTCTCTCATTTAATGCAATTTTTTTGATTACTTCAGTTCCTGAGTATTGTGTCTCATGATACAAATATACATATGTTCTCTCAGCAAAATTCAAAATACCTGTTAGAGTGCACTGCTAGCATCCTACCATAGAGGTCATTGAAATATGACCAGAAGTTTGGCATACAACAGTAAAATCAACTAGAATTAGCATTGCAGAAATCAGATTTTGTGTATCCATTGAATAGAATATTGCACAATACATATAGATGCTTTTTCGGAGAACATCCAATTGCTAAAAATTCATGAAAGGACAGTAAATCTACTTTGTTCTCATTAATCGTTTTTTGCGGTGATAATACAACTCACGATTATAATCGCTCATAGAATTTCCATCTCTTACGTAGAAAGCTTTCTTTCCTAAAAGTTGCCTTGCCTTCACAGTAATAAAGAAAAACATGTTAAATTGCCACATTCAGATATGGCAAAAGAAGTACTCGCAAAAGCTAGGGTGCTATAATACCAAATTCTCCTACAGTAACAAAATTATGATGTATATAGTGTTTTTCATTAGATATGTTCAAACAATACTAATCTACAGAATTCTGTTGTTGATTGGAGGGCATTTTAAACTATATCAGAATTGGAAAGTGGGAGAGTTTTTGTAAAAAAGGAGGAAAAGGAGGAGCATTCACATGCCAGAATAAATCCACATTAATAATCAGAAACCAAAATATGACTCCTAAGAAAAGAATGTCTGCTGTCGCTTTTTCACGTTGCGTCTCTAAAAATGTTCAATTGTTGTCTGAAAACTGCCTACCAAATGCTCCGTTTCTTCCATGTCTAACAGTCAGTAAAGGCGCTCACTTCCTCACAATGGATTTCTTACTTAGAACGTCAAACTGGACCGAACTCTAAGCTTAATTATCATCAATTCATGGCCTCTATGAGAATCCTTATAACTTCATCATTAAAATAGATAGAAACTTGGGAATAGTTTCTAACTAAAGCTAGCCTCTTTGCGCAATATTTCATCGAACAAAATTTTCAAATTCGTTTCCCTTCATTTTTTATGACCGTTTAAGTGCATATGGAATAAAAATAAGCAAAACATTTCTGACTCCAGAACACTAAAATTCACTTTTCTCAACACAGGAATCAAATATGAAAAATCTAGTTGATCAAAAATTTACTCTCATTTAGACCTTTAAAGCAAAAGAATATTGGTTTTTCTGACTGAAAACCATGTTTTGAGAAAAACAATATAAAAAAACACAAAAATCTCTGGGAAAACATAATAGTAGGGTCAACATTTCCTCTAATAAGTCTATGAAAATTGGATCATTTTGCGAATAGCTATATACAGGGTGTCTGGAAAGCTATTGGCCAAAACGAAGATTGTATATCTCGATTAGTGTTCCATTGGATGAATTAAATTTTTTGTATTGATGATAGAGGACACTTTAAAGTTTTTATTCATAAATATAAAGTTGTCAAATACTCCTAGAAAGTAGCACTTTCAAGTTCAATATACAATAAAATGCTTTTTCTAATTGAAGAAACAATATATATATATAGGATTTTTTCTTGAATCTTATTTCATTATTATGATCTTTCAATCATCCAAAATTATTTCTCTTGCTACATACACATTTGTTGGACATTTTTAACAAACTACTCGACACATATCTCTAGTCTAATGTCGATAAAAACCTTAACATCACATCAATTTACTGAATTTATCTTTCATCAAAATTTCGGATAATACAAAAGAAATAGGTCTCCATGACTGAAAGCTCACAATAATGAAACAAAACTCAAGAAAAAATCCTATATATATTGTTTTTTTTTCAATTAGAAAAAGTACTTTATTGTGTATTGAACTTGAAAGTGCCACTTACTAGGAGTATTTGACAACTTTGTATTTATGAATAAAACCTTTGAAGTGTCCTCTATCATCAGTACCAAAAACTAATTCATTCAATACAATAATAATGGAGATATACAATTTTCTTTTTGGTCTATGATTTTCTGGACACTCTGTATATTCTAAAAGAGGAAACTTTGGTGCATTTTCCTATGATAACAATTTCGATATGTTTTCAAAAAATTGGGTTGTCTGAGGGAGGAGAGCCACTTACAAGTCATGAAATAAACTCTTGCATGACTTTACATAAAACGTGGATGTGGATGTTGATGTTCTTTTCATGCGCACCCAGCTTCGGCAACTAAAGTAAAGTTGGAATTGATATACAAATTGAGATGGTACAATTGCATGAGAAATCGATTACAATTGGGTAAAAATTTTAAAAAAACCAATGTAAATGAATTAGATTATTTTAATCGATATCAATCAAATCTGATTTGAAACAAGTTCGTATTTCATCGAGTCAAACAA